CTAACATATTGTTCAAAGAAGAGCACGTGAGTTAAACAAACTGGTCTAACTTGAAGAAGTAATAAGATTACACGAGTTAAGAATTGATCAAACTTTCACGAACTAAGTTGTTGTATATTTGAAGTTAGATCAGTATTTCTTTTTATGTATTCCAACTACTGTAATCCATAAATTATTGCTATTTTTTAAATTTTGCTCAACTTTTCACTTGCTTACTGGTGTATTTTTTTCAATTTTAGTTTTTTTTTTTTAATATATGAGTTAGAAAGATTAAACGAACTTCAAAAAAAATACCAAAAAAGACAAAGGTAAAAAGAATGATACAATTTTCAGTAGTAACTGTTATATTTGGTTACAAAATAATGATCTAGCTTCCAAAATAACTATAATATGTGAGTTTAAATATGAGTATCTATCAAAGAATAAGAGGCATATGTTTGTGTAAACTAAATATTTACCTATCAGGATCAAAAAAGAACAGGTAGCTTAAAATTACTGATCTAATTTCCAAAAATAACAAAACATCATGAGGTAAGAAAAAGTCGGTTTAATTCCCTATAGTAATAAGAATACACGAAGCATAGAACCTGATCTAAGTCCCAACAGTAATACGAATACAAGGAGTCTATAGTGACACTGATCCTAGTTCCAAACACTATGATCAACCATGGGTAAAAAGGTTGATGTAATTCCCAGTAGTAGTAAGAATTGGGTAGTGAAACTAACCAGAATATATATGGCTGATCTAATACTCATGTGCGTCATGAAACAGACTAATATAACTTCCAACTGCATGATAATTGGTATGTAAATAGATATAACTTCCTTTAGTAACAGGAATGCATAGGGTAAAAAAAAACAGTTTAATTCCCACATGCTACCAAAATCAATGAAATAATGTAAAGGCTATACAGAACTGCCAATAATGGTTACAAGAGTTATAACATGTGAAACTGATCTATCTCCCAATAACAGTTACAACATGTGAAACTGATCTGTCTCCCAATAACAGTTACAACATGTGAAATTGATCTATCTCCCAATAACAGTTACAACATGTGAAACTGATCTATCTCCCAATATCAGTTACAACATATAAAACTAACATATCTCCCAATAACAGTTACAACATGTGAAACTGATATATCTCCCAATAACAGCTACAACATGTGAAACTGATCTATCTCCCAATATCAGTTACAACATATGAAACTGACATATCTCCCAATAACAGTTACAACATGTGAAACTGATCTATCTCCCAATATCAGTTACAACATATGAAACGGACATATCTCCCAATAACAGTTACAACATGTGAAACTGATCTATCTCCCAATAACAGTTACAACATATGAAACTGACATATCTCCCAATAACAGTTACAACATATGAAACTGACATATCTCCCAATAACAGTTACAACATGTGAAACTGATCTATCTCCCAATAACAGTTACAGCATATGAAACTGATCTATCTCCCAATAACAGTTACAACATGTAAAACTGATTTATCTCCCAATAACAGTTACAACATATGAAACTGATCTATCTCCCAATAAGAGTTACAACATATGAAACTGATTTATCTCCCAATAACAGTTACAACATGTAAAACTGCTCTATCCCTCAATAACAGTTACAACATGTAAAACTGCTCTATCCCT